CGTAGGGTGACTACTACCACTCGTAGTCAGTTGCAGACCCAAGGGGAAGAGAGAGACCTTACAAGTCCTTGCTGCTTTGGCTGCTACTGCACCACCCCAGCAGGAGAAAGTTTTTTCTCCTCCCCTGCAACAGCTCAGCCAATGAGAACTGTCACAACTCGGCCAATGAAAATCCACTATACTTCCAACTCAGTTTACTCCAATGGACTTTTTTGTAACAGCTCTCCGAACCCACCCACCTTTTCCTCTGTAAAAGAACTTTCCTCAGCTTTGTTATCCAGCTTGTACCATAGCTTGCCTGTTGTTAATTGTAATTCTCTGCTGTTCCCTAATAAACCCATTTTTGCTGGTAAAATAACTTACAGTTTTATTTCTAAAGTTAACAGGGTCTGTTACATACCAGCAGTTTGTAGACCCAGACACAAATAGAGCACGGCACTTTCAATTTTTTTATTTTATTTTAATGGCGTTAAAATACGTGTAACATAAGATTTCCCTAGAAGGATTGCTAGATCATTTTTGATTTTTAATTTCTATTTTTAATTTTTTGAGGAACTGCCATGCAGTATTCCATAGCGGTTACAGCATTCTACATTCCCACCAACAGTGCACAGAGATTCCAGTTACCTCACATTTTCACCCACACTTTTTTCAATAGTAGCCATTCTAATGGATATAGGGTGGTTTAAACTTTTTTGACCTCACCCATTGTAAGAAATATAGCTCACAACTAGTCTCCAGTATATACAAATGCACACACATATCTGTAGCCAGAACAAGTTTTGCAAAACAAATTACACTTATTACATGGAATGAACTCTAGTATTTTCTATTTTGCACTGTTCTACGTAATATAAAAACGAAATGCTGGTATACCCACTTGATTGCTTTCATGGTCCACTAGTGGGACATGGACTATAGTTTGAAAACCATTGGTGTGGAGTGCTCAGTGGAGACTGTGTACTTTCCTAGAGGCCTGGGACGTCATCTGTCCTCTCCCCTCCCCTAGGCAGGCTCCCCTCTGATCCACAGAGACAACTCTCCTCCCTTTTTGTAAAGATGTGAAGGAAAAAAACCTGGAAAGGGGGCTCAGAAAGAAGGAAGTCAGTCTGTCACAGCAAGGCATGCAGAGCCCACATCCCCCATCAAAGCGCTGATACCAGGAAGAGCCTTACCTTGGGTTCCGTTGCCCAGCATGTGCCCCACGCTTGGCCAGGTAGCTCCTGGTGTTCCCCTGTGAGGGTGGACCTGACCATGCCCTCTGCCACACAGGTGGGACAGAGCTTGTCCCCCTGAAGGAAGCATATCCCTGGCCTCATGATCTCACAGTCCAGCCCTGGCTCTTCCAGTACAGCTTTTCTCAGTGGCTGATTAGGTATGTGACCTTAGGAAATCATTTCATGTCTCTGGTGCCTCGGTTTCCTTCTCTAGATTGGCAAGAATCATAGTAGGGCACCTACATTTTTTTCTAAGTATATTTTCCTTGTGTGGTAAAATTCACATAAGAAAATTCACCATTTTCAAGTGTACAATTGAGTGACATGTAGTACACTCACAATCTTGTTCAGCCATCCCACCTATCTGGTTCCAGAATATTTTCATGACCCCACAAGGAAATCTGGTACCCTTGAAGAACTCACTTTTTATTTTCTCCTCCTGGCAACCACCAGTTGGCTTTCTGTCTACATGCATTTAGCTTTTCTGGATATTTTATATAAATGGAATCATGCAATAGTTGTTCTTTTGTGGCTGGCTTTTTTCATTTAGCCTAATGTGTTCAAGGTTTATCTGTGTTGCATGTGTCAGAACTTCATTCTTTTTTATGGCTGAATAATGTTCCACTATATGGCTGTCCCACATGTGGTTTATTCATTCATCAGTTGATAGACATCTGGGTTGTTTCCACCCTTTGGCTTTTGTGAATAATGCTGCTGTGAACATTTGTGTGCAAGGTTCTACTTAAACATCTGTTTTCAGTTCTTTGGGTGTATGCCTAAGAGTAGAATTGTTGTATTGGAAATTCTATATTTAACTTTTTAAGGAATTGCCCCTGCCTCATTTAGGAGCAGGTATGTGAAGCACTCAGTACTGTGGCTGGCATGAAGTGGTAGTAAAAACAGTATTTATCATCGTCATCATTAGTGGTGCTTACAAAGTGCCAGATACTCTTCTAAGCATTTTACCTGTAGTGACACATTTCATCCACTTTACTCTCAAAGGCAGATGGTACAGCTGACTCTTGAGCAATGCAAGCATTAGGGGCACCAACCCCTGCTGTGCAGTTGAAAATCTGTGTTTAACTTCTAACTCCCAAAAATGTAATGACTGATAGCCTACTGTTGACCAGAAGCCTTATGGATAACATAGTCAATGAACACATATTTTGTGTGTTATATGTGTGATATACTGTATACTTACAATAAAGTAAACTACAGGGAAAGAAATGTTTTTTCAAATTAGCATAAATCTCCGTAATTTCCCAATTTATTCATTGAAAAAATCTGCACCTAAGTGGACCCGTGCAGTTCAAACCTGTGTTGGTCAGGGTCAGCTGTATTATTATTCCCATTTTATACAGGATGAGTGAGGCGCTGAGAGTTCTAAGTGTGTAAATCTGTTCTGACTCAGGTGGAATTAAGGCCCAGGGGGCGGAGAGAAGGTTACCGAGCGGCCAGTTTCAGCTCAGTGGGGCAGTGTCTTCACGGCTAAGACTTCGCCGCGGTGGAGGCACTCTCTCCGTCGGTAGTGAGCGCTTGTCCCTGGAGGCGTGTCGGCTGGGGCTAGCTGTCTAGGGGGCCTTGAGGAGTTGCTGGGCAGTGTGATCCCAAGGCCGTCTTGTGACCCTGTTGGAACACACTGACAGGAACTGAAGGGGTCCCTGGATGCCAGCACCTCAGGGTGAGAAGGAGGTAAAGTCATGAAGGGTACGGGCAGGACTCCTGGCCCCCAGTGGGTTCTGGGCTCTGGGCTGTAGACCACAGCCAGCTTGCACCTGTGGCTGGGAGAGGTCCTGAGAGCTGGGCTGACCCCAGGCCTGGGGGCCCAGCCCTGGGCCTACTTCCTGGTCATTTCTGACTCTCTGGTTTCCTGACTTTGCAGACAGAGAAGGTGCAGAGGGCTCAGGCACAGGTCCCAGGGCTGGCTGAGACCCAGCCTGTGGCTATGGTGCAGTCGGTGCCCGGGGCACACCCTGTGCCAGTATATGCCTACTCCATCAGAGACTCCTCCTTTAGAGAGGTAAGGCTCTCTCAGCCCTGGCCTCACTTCCTCAAGGGCCTGATCCCACCGGGCGGGAGGAGCAGAGCTGGGTGAAAAACCAACCAGTCCTTACTCAGCACCTTCTCTGTTCTCTGCCTTGCTCCCAGCTGCCCTGTCAGGCAGTCCCCCTCTAAGCAGGAGCCGCTCCCCGGCAAGTAGAGGTTGGCAATGCAATCTGCAGGCAGGGCCATAGTGTGCGTGGGGGCCTGGGCAGCTGCCTACGTGGAGAGAGGCATGATCTGCATGGCAGAGAGCAGAGGGGCAGCAGGAGCAAAGGTGGGAGGTGGGGGTACCGCAGGCCCCTGCCTCCCAGGTCTGGGCCTCTGCCCACCACCCCAGGGCCCCTGGAGGCTCTTGACCTGGCCCTGTAACTCCCCACTACGCAGGAGGTCTCCGACACAGTCATACCACAGAAGAGAAAGTCCTGCCAGACCGAGGGTCCCAGGAAGGCCATCAAGATGGAGTCTGAGGACGAGAAGGAGGCGAGGTTGGCCCAGAGGTCCCCTGAGCAGCCCAGACCTAGCACCTCCAAGGCAGTCTCGCCACCCCACCTGGACGGGCGTCCCAGCCCTGAGAGCCCCACCACAGGGAGTGAGGACTTCCTGCCAAACAGCAACCATGCGACCAGTGACCCCAGGGAGGCAGGTAGGGAGGTGGATGGGCAGCAGAGGCTGAGGCCTGTACGCTGTCCCCCAGGTGCTGGTGGGGCCCTGCCCTCTTCCTCATCCTGACCCCACTCAGGACCCCAAAGCCAACATCATTCACCATGTGTCCTGCTTTCAGCTGCCACCACATGGGGCAGGGAGAGCCTGCTGTTGGCCCAGGAGAGGAAAATGGATGTGGTTCCCCGTGTGCTTTGCTGGGACTCCAGTATGGGGAACGTGAGGGGCTGAACCCGTGTTCCGTAGCTCCTGCCTCTGGCTCGCGCACAGTGCCCAGCTAGCCCTCTGTCTCTGCACGGGGAGGGTCTCCCAAGAACTGTTTGTTGGTGGGTGCTAATCCAGGTGGTGGTTATCCAGCCTCCTCTCTGGGGAACAAATTCTGAATTCAGGGCCAGCAGCTAAATTAAGCACTCAGAGACAAGGCCCAGCAGGCCGTGATGGAAGGCCACTTTGAACGAACAGATCCACGCTGGCACGTGGTGGGTGTTCCCACCCCGCATTGTAGGGCGCACGGGGGAACATCCCAGGCCCCACCCAGCAGGCATCCCCGGCGGCGCCTAATGCTGTCTCTCCTGCCCCGTTTCAGAGGAACGCATTGTCGTGATCAGCAGCTCAGAAGACTCTGATGCCGAAGACTCGGTGAGTGGCCCAGAAGTTCGGCCCAGGACTCCTGCCTCCCCTGGTTCCAGGTCCCAGGGGGCACAGCCACAGCAGGTGACTCTCAGACTCGCTTTGCACCTGGGGGATTTTCCAGCGAGGCAGTGAGTCCTGAGCTGTCCTGAGGACAGTCTCCCAGTGCCAGCTGCCGGCCTCCACACCAGGGCAGGAGCTTTCTGTACCGTAACCGCACGTACTCCTCCAAAATGCGGGCGGTGCTGCCTGCCGGGGCCCTGTCTCTCCTGGACTAGCCAGCACCTCTGCTGCAGCTTCCTTATGTATTTTCTGGCCTCTTATGTCCTCAATGAGGACCACATCCAAAACCCCCTTCCCTGGTTCAGTGAGGGCCAGCCAGGGCCAGTGCAGGGCTGTGAGGGCACGGGCAGCACCACACAGGGTCCAGGCAAGCAAATTTCCACTCCATGTGAGAAGAAAACCTATTTAAAGCCGCCCCACACTGAAACAAGTGCCTTGTGGGTCATGACCCTTCTGTCCCTAGAGATTTAATAGAGGCTGGGCTGTCTTTGTTCAGGGGAAAAGGGGATCTGAACCGAGTGAAAGGTGGGACGGGGTGGCCCCTGAGGTCCCTCCCGGCCCTCAGTCTGAGGTTCTGTATTGGAAAGCCTGCGGAGCCCACGGAGACGGAAGAGCCACAGTCTGCGTCAGCCCACCCCCTGCTGGGAGCCCGAGGAGCCCCCCACCCTTGCCAGGCCTCCTGTCTGCCCCGCGGCACATGCCGCCCCCTGGCCTGGCCGTCCCACCATCCCTCCGAGCACGCTGCCGTCACTGATGCCGAGTATCCCAGCCAGCCTGCCGGTCACCAGGAGGACACTGCCATCCGCCGTGGCCGCAGCTTCCTGTCATACAGAACACAAAGACGCACTTGCCATCACATCTTCCAGCTTCCCTTCAAACCATATGGTGCCCCTGTGTGGGACTGTCCTCCCTCCACAGTCCAAGCCACCACCCCTGCCAGTCCCCAGGACTGTCCTGCCCACCTCCAAAGGGCCATCCGCCAACCCCACCAGGCACGAGGGGCAGTGCGATCCCATGGCCTTTCCCTCCGGGGCTCCCACCGTGTAGTCCAGTGGCTTAACAGGTTCTTTGCCCTTCCTCTCTCCTCTGTGGCTCCCCAGCTTGATCCCTCTCTCCAGGGGGCAGTGGGGGGAAGCGGAGCGCCCCTGGCTCTCAGGGCAGGGATCTCCCCCCAGGATTCTGACAGAGCCCCCACAGATAATCCCCAAGTCCAGGTCCCACTGGGAGTCCCTCCAATTGCATTCCGACCACCCCATCTCCAGAGGCCCCCCACCAGGCCAGCACCCCTCCGAGAAGCCTCTGAGAGTCCCTAGTGCCTCCCTCCCCTGTAGTGACTGGCCACCGTCCTTGCGACCTTTGCACCAGACACCATGCCCTGCTCCCTGAGCTGCCTCTGTCCCACTGTGTGCCCAGCCTACGCACAGTGGGCATGCAGTACATTGTGGTCGAAGAATGAACCAAGGCATGAATGGCTACATGGACCCTGGCAGAGTGACTTAAGTCCTCGTCAGCTGAGAGGACGTGGCTAAGATTCAGGCCACAGTCCCCACATCCCTGGGTGTCTTTGCCCAAGAAGAGGAAGCGTCTCTTGCCCTTTGCACCTTCCACTGTCGCATCCCCCATGCCAGGCCTTCCCACCAGGCCTCTGCCAGGATCTAAGCCTGTGAGGGCAGGGACTGTGTCAATCCCAGGACTGGCAGATGCGGCTGCTCAATAAATAATTGTTGAAAGATCACCCTCGCAAACCCTTCTTCCACGACCACCACATCCCCTGCTGAACTTGGCTCTTGCCCGCAGGGGGCTCAGTCCTCCTTGCGCTGAACTTGTTCTCCTGTTGGCTCGCTGTGTCTTCTCTTTCTCCCACATCCTATGAGCATCAGAAGTGGAGGATGTGGTCAGTCCCTCTGTGCTTTCTGGACGGTTTCGGTCCTACCGTCTGGATCCCCTTTGCCTTTGAAGTTGCAGGTCTCCAGGTGAACCCCACTTCCCCTGGCTCATCTCAGGCATTGTCCTGCCTCCCCCCTCTAGGCAAGACTGCGGCTCCTGCCTCCTTGGCTTCCTCGTCCCACCCAGGCCCCGCCTTGTTCCTGGAGGACTTTAAAATCCACCGGCCTGGCCTCTCTGCTCCTTCACCTCTCAGGGGTCTTCACCCCGTTCCACTGCAGCTGCTAGCCCCATGGCCACCCCCTGGACCTCACCGTCCCCGGGAACTGGCCTCAGCCTCCTGCCCCTTGGGCGCTCAGTCGGTCACTTCCAGGACCACTGTCCTCGGGCTCTTCCTGAAGCTCTGGCTGCTCCTCCCTCTCCTTGGGGGCCCCCTGTTCTCTCCCGGGCTGTCCCTCTGGCCCTCATTCTAGGCCCCCTTCTCTCAGTCTGTACTATCCTGCGATCTCGGCGACACCCGTGACTTCAGTTACTGCCCACCAGCTGCTGATGCCCAGTGCTCCCTCTCGCCTTCCAGACCGGTGCCATCCAGCTCCAACTAGATGCCCTGTACATACTGCACATTCGTCTCTCTTCCTCTCAGCAAATCCATCTTCCCAACTACAGAAGCTGAGACCCCAGAGCCACCCTGGACACCCCCGCTTTTATTATTCTCACAGCCAAACAATCTTTGAGGCTTATTTTTCCATGTTCTAAAATCCTCTGAGATCTGGGCGCTTCGTTCCACCCCATAATCTTGGTAAGATTAAAGCAAAACTGACGCTGGGTGGAGGTAGAAGCCTGGGAAGGAAAGATGGAGGAAAGGACTGGGATGCCAGTGGTCTCCCCAGACGTTGTGAGAGTCAGTGAGGAGCTAAAACCAGCAACATTGGTCGTGGGGGGGCGCGGGGGTCAGTCTGATCCTCAGCTGTCAGCAAGGAGTTGCTAGGTGGTCTGTGCAGTTAATCAAGGAAGGAAGGAGAAGCGCATTTCAGGTTAAGAAGAACTAAACAGAAGCAGCTGCTCGCCTCTGGCCACCAGTTCTGGAGGTGAGAGCCAAAGGCCCTCTGCTTTTATGCAGGGATTCTTCAGACATGTTTTGTAAATTAAACATAATAAGAGTTCCAAACTTACTGAAGAAAACTTTTAAAAAGAAATTAGGTTCCCCTCATATATTTCTTGCCCATCTTGCATGGCCCCTTCCAGGCTCCTGGGGATGCTAGCGTGCCTGCAGCATCTTAAGAGGGAGGGGGCAGGCGCTCCAGGCTCCCACGTCCCCGAGACCCCTCTCCGTGGCCTTTATCAGGCTTGTGTGTGTGTGTGTATGTGTGAGAGTTACAGAGCACGGACTGCTCAGCACATTTTCAGGATACCAGGGCGTGTGGCCCCTCCCACCACCTGCCACTGTCCCTCCTCAGGCCACAGCTGGGTGAGTGGCTGGGGTCTGGCTAGACATGTCTGGGGGCTGTGGGGCAGGCCTGGCACGGTGGGCAGGGGCAGGGAGGCTCTGCTTGAGCAGGAAGGGCCATCTGTAAGCGCCCTCAGCCCTGCAGGAAGGGGCAATAGAGCTGTAGTCAAGTGGAGGTGCAAGGCTGGGCCCGATGGTGGGAACCTGGAGAGGGGACTGTGCTTAAAAATCCAGGGTGGGTCAGCAGTGGGTCCCTTGGACATAGGATCCAAGGCAGTGATGGCTGTTCTCGCCTAGTCTTTGACAGATGACTGGCCCCAGTCCCTGGCAGCAACAGGACCAAGTGGAAGCAGGAGGGGGCCTAGCCAAGTGGGCAGCCCCTCCCAGAGCAGCAGTGGTGAACGGCAGGGACAGGGAGGCCCACGAGGTCCAGCTGGTCCAGGGAGGGGCCGGGATGCTGATGAGTGTGTGTATCAGAAAAAAACAAAACAGACGGTCGGCCGAGGAGATGGGAGCCTTGTCCCTTGAGGGCAGCAGCAGCTTGCAGAGGGGCCAGGGTAGTGGGCAGAGGGCAGTCAGGGCCACAGGCTGGCTAATGGGATGGCCCAGTTCATAGATCCATGTGAGGTATGTTTGGGGTCTTCCACACGGCAAGAGCCGGGAGTTCTGTGTCTGCACAAAATAGTAATGTTTGTGTCTTATTAAACTGATCCCGGCTGTTGCTTAAGCTTGAATGCTGAGAAAATTCCTCAGGAGCTTGAGAGTCCCTTGATAAAAATTAATTTCAAACACTTGATAGATGTGTTCAGGTGGCTGGATGCTGCGGCCCCTCCTGATTGGCCAGCGACCAAACATGGAAGGACTCGGTCATTAGGAAGATCAGCCTCGACTCTGGCTGCACACTGTAATCACGTGGAGGGGTCAGGGGACAGCCTAGGCATCAGGACTTTTTTTTTAAGCTTCAATGCACAGCCAAAGCAGAGAGCCACTGAATTGGAGGATTCAGATGCCCATCAGAGAAATGCTGCTCATCTGTGTATGATCATCCTTGAACAGAGGTGACATGCACATGCTGGGATATGACCCAGCAGGGTAGAGAGATGTTGGCTCTTTCCAGATGAACCTAGACTTTTGGAAGGTGATTACAATGTCCACCTAGCTGCTTCCTAGAAGCACCCTTGCTACGGCCATTAGACTTGCTGGGTTGAGTTGGAATGCGGCTGGCCTGCTAAGTTAGCCTGTGATGAAGATACGTGAAAGCTAAGCTCATGAATCAGACTGCATGTGTATCGTGAAAAAATCCTGGGTCCCTCGTGGCTCAGTCCAAGCCTCGTTTTGCAGTCAAAAACACCTGTACATTAGCCAAGTATAAAAGAGAAACAAATTCCCATAGTTACTTGCATCCTTGAAAGACCATTAAAGTGGTTCAGTTCTTAACTCACAGCACCACTTCTGAAGTCCCTCTTCCCTTTCGCCTTTAGTGCCTGCCTTCCCCACCCCCACCTTCCCCTTTCCCTTCCTCCCAGGGGGGTTCTCCTCTTCCACCTTCCATTGCCTTGTGCTGCCCTTCCCTTTCCAATGAAAGGCCCTTTCTTGGCCTGGGCCTGGTCTCTACCTCTGTCCCTCCCTCTTCATGCTCCCTACCCACCCACTCAATATGGGAGCACAGGGGTTGGCACAAGACATCTCCTTTAGCTGGGGGTGGGGGCAGGGGGTGGGAAGACACCCTGCCTCAGAGCCTCTGTGTGCTGCCTGCCCTTCCGTTAAACCTAGGTCTTTAGAAAAGTCTGTCTTTTCAGTGAGCTGGTACTTCCCAGCTGTGTTGCTGGGATTTAAGGCTGTGAGGGGGAATCCAGTTTACAGCTGGCTGGGTTCAGTGGAAGGCATTCCAGAGAGACCAGCCCCACGCAGTGGCCATACTTTCTTGAAGCCCCCTAAGGTGAGAGGAATCTATGAGGGCTGAGTGATCCAGGCTTCCTTCCATTGACAAGCTCAGCAGGAAGGGGTGCCCTTTTATTCAGGGTGTCAGCAAGACAAAGGACATTTCTGTGACTATAAAAGAGAAAATGACCCCAAGACAATGGAAGGCCCTAAAAATAAGATTCTGATGGCCACATAAATGAGCCAGGTATAAAGATGGGAGCTGGCCCAAAGGTGTGCTCTCCAGGGAGCTCAAGTCCTGGAAGCGATTCTGAAGAGAATTCCATGGCTCTAAGGCCTGAAGAGACAGTCCTAGAAGGAAGGAGAGAGTTGGAGGCACTCAGCCACTGTGGGGCTTTAGTGGTTATGTTGGGAGCAAAAAGAAGGTGGAAGAAGAGAAATCCAGTGTTGCCTTGTCGGTGGGTAACAAAGAGGACTCAGCCTAGGGATGGCTCTTCAGCCACTGGCAAGAGGGAGCCAAGGCCCGGGGAAAGGGCATAGCAGGGGGAGTCCAGCCCTTTCCACCAGCCCGTGTGTGCGAGCAGGCACTGGAAGTCTGGAGATGAAAATAACTAGCTTTTCCAACTAGGGAAGAAGACAGAGCAACTTTAAGCAAGACACCTGTTGAAGGCTCCTTGCAGGGAGCAAAGGGGGCTGGGACATTGGGACAGAGACTCAGAGCTAGACATGCAAAGCAGCCTTGGTTGCGTGGGTGAATCAAGGATACAATATGCAAGGCATCTGACAAAGTCTTTTATTAGGTCTTATGTGCAGGACTCCCAGGCTTCTCTAAGGAAAACTAGCTCTAGATGGATTCATAGTGAATGTCTGTTTCTATCAGTGACTGGGAGGAAGTTGGTGGGCCTGGGGTAGGGTTATGAAATGCACATAAGGTAAAAATAGCCACTCCTAGGAAAATCTAGCACATTTCACCATGGTTGGTAACGACGCCACTCTTGGCTACAGTTTTGTTAGAACAAATGTTTCACCTGGAGAGTCAAAGGGCCTAAGAGAATTTGCTAATGATCTCCCAGGCCAGGGATATTAGCCATAAGCCAGAGTTCACGGAGACCTCTGATAGCCCCAGGTGAGGCCCACGCTGGGCTCTGTGACATTAGTCATGTCCATTCTTCCTGGTCTCTGGCCAATGTCCGCAGGTGGCAGACACAGGAGGTTCTGAGCAGGCTCCCAAAGACTGAATGTCTGGGTTTGGCAGCTGTGCGCATGATGAGCAGTTAACTGTATATTTATTAAAAGAGGCTCCGATTCCCTCTGTAGCCACAGTGCCTTGGAAGACCGTCAGAGCCAGAGCCCTTCCCTAACCCCTGATGCCTTTCCAAGTGATTTTGCCTTGGTGCCAGAGAGAAGAGAGGCTCAGGTGCCCAGCCTGGTGGAGGCGTGGGCTGCGGGCTTCCCTTAGCAGCCAGCTCCTGGCTGCCGAGGGACAGAGCACCTCCAGGCTCTGAACCCGCCTCCTCCACTGCCCTGCCTGCCAGGCTCTACATCCACCCAGGTGTGGTGACAATCCTCCCCCTCTGTGTAGGACGCTGGGGCCTTGGCAGGCTTTGGGAACAAGAAGACCCTTCCAGAGAAGCATCTGGGGTTTGAGATGCGGCTCCTTCCTCCTTTTCCAAGTTGATGATGTTTCTTCTGACTTTGCTCAGAGAGGCAAAGCCCACCATAGCATCCGTCCCTCCCCTGAGCCTCCTCACCCAGCACTGCTCACCCCCACACTCTCACTCACATATTCTCACACTTTCACATACACTTATGTCACCACAGGTTCACAAATTCATACCTCCTGCATAGCCAGCTGCACACACACACACACACACACACACCTTTGCATTCAGTCCTGCACTTGAGTTTTCATGCACACCCACTTGCCTGCATGACCTTCCTTCTCTCACCCCTACTCGCTAACGCTGTGTACTTGAACACACACCTTCCCTTTCTCAATGACATGCCCTCCCTCATGTGCATGCAGATGCCCAGCCATTCCAGCTTGCTCCGTCCCTGCACACACCACATTCATGCACACACAACCACAGACACCTGCTCACAGGCACGTGCTCACATTGCCAATACACTCCCTCTCGCCCTCTGGACCCCTGACCTGTCGGTTTTTCTGTGTTGCAGTCTTCCCAAGAGCTGGATGACAGCAGCAGCGAGTCCAGTGACCTCCAGCTGGAGGGCCCCAGACCCCTCAGGGTCCTGGACAACAGCCTCGCCGACCCCCAAGCAGAAGACAGGCCCCTGGTTTTCTTTGACCTCAAGATTGACAGTGAAAGTGGGTTCTTCAATAGCTACCCCCACCCCTTTCTAGCTTAGTCTCTGAGTCCCCAGAATAAGTGCATGCAGAGCCATCTGCAAGGCCCGGGAGAGCCCTGAGCTCTGACCAGTGACTGTAGCCAGAGAGTGGACAGAGCCCTGCATCCCCCTGGGACTCCCAGGTGTACAACTTGCTTGATTGAATAAGAACTTCTGCCTTGGCCAGTCCTGAAAGCACGAGGCAAGCACGTCCTCGAGTTGGCCTCTGACCAGCAACTGCTCTTAGAGAGGCCCGAGAACACGCTTGTAAACAGAAAAGCACAATGTGGCAGGTCGCTGCTATGACACCAGCAATCCAAGTAAGGCCCTTGGCCGCGACTACACTTGGTTCTGAGCACACGGCCTGCGCCACAGGTGGCCGTACAGGGAGGCCAGCAGAACCAAGGTCACACGGAGAGAGGACCCTCTGCTCCCAGAGGCCCCTCTGCTCCCCGCGGTGCTTGCCCTGGCCCTGCCATGCCCTTCTCTGAGCCGGAAGGCCTGGGAGCAGCACGGAGCTCACCCGGCCAGCCAGAAGCAGCAGGTGTTCCCACAGGACGTGGAGTCTCTTGCGGACCTCACAGGAGGCTGTGGGGCACACCTGCGTGGAGTAGAAGAGGCAGGTGTGCTGTCCGTCCCAGGGTTCTGACTGGCTGGGAGCCTTAGCCAAGTGCCTGATGGATCTCGAGGCCAGGGGCAGGGAGTGCAGGGCTTGGTGGACACAGCGAGGGGTCTCAAGTATGGGCTGGTGAGCTTGATAGAAGACAGGAGGGCCTGGATCCAAAGGGTTTGGTGAACTCTGGGGCAGGGGAAGCTGGACTCCCAGCAGATGAGCAAGGGGTGTTTGGAGGGGAGCCCAACCTCCCCTTCTGACCCTGTCCCCATCAGTGCCAGGATCAGAGCAGTGTTGGAGACCGATGTTTGGTTCCTGCCAGTAGGTCCTAAGGTGGGGTCTCTAGGTGGTGGGTAGGCAGCTCTAGAGGTCCCCTGCCCCTGCGCTGGCCTCCTGGGCCCCTGGGACCTCACCCTGCCCTTCTCTCCTTCCCAGCCCAGAAGATTAGCCAGCTGGCCGCTGTGAACCAGGAAAGCGAGTTCGGTGCACTCACACAGCCACAGGCCCTCTTCGGCTCCTGCTCCAAGGCTGAGGCTGTCTCACTGGAGGCGGGGCTGCAGCACTTCCTTGGCTTCCTGAGCTCCATGCACCGCCCCGTTTTGGTCTGCTATAAGCTCTGGGGGCCCGGTCTCCCCAACTTCTTCCAGGCCCTGGCAGACATGAACAGGCTCTGGGAGTTCCAGGAGGCCATCTCGGGCTTCCTGGCTGCTCTGCCTCTCATCCGGGACTGCGTGCCCAGGGCCAGCAGCTTCAAACTCAAGAGTCTGGCCAGGACCTACCTGGCGAGAAACATGAGTGACCGCAGCGCCCTGGCTGCTGTGCTGGCCATGCGCGACCTGTGCCGCCTTCTGGAAGTCTCCCCGGGCCCCAGGCTGGGGCAGCACGTCTACTCCTTCAGCAGCCTGCACTGCTTTGCATCCCTACAGCCCCTGGTACAGGCCGCCATCCTGCCCCGGGCCTTGGCCCGCCTCCTGGCCCTCCACAACGTGAGCTTCATGGAGCTGCTGACCGCACACCGCCGTGACCCGCAGCAGGGCTTGAAGAAGTACAGCCGCTACCTGAGCCTGCTGACCACCTCCTCGCCCCTTGCCCGGCCTGCTTCCAACCTGCAGGCCCTGAGCACCTACTTCGTAGGCCTGTTGGAGGGGCCAGCCTTGGCACAGGCAGAAGACATCTCTACCCCTCTCGCTGGTCACAGCTTGTCAGAAGCGGCCTCTCAGCAGAGCTGAGAGGAGGCACTGGCTGCCTGGTAATCTCATGGGGCAGAAAGGGATGGGATCTCTGAGCCAAGCCCCACCCTGGTCCCAGGACTCAGTTGTCATTTGCTCTAGAATCAGGTCTCCTCTGGGACCAAGTTCCCCTTCTCTAAAATTCCCACAGAGAAATTTCCGAGCCCAAGCAGCTACCCCTGGAGGGCCACCAGCGCTGCGTGTAGACCCCGGGGGCACCAGTGGGCTAGTTCTCCAGACTTCCGACTCCTCCCTTCCAGGAGCCCCAACTGGGGAGGTTTGGGGTGAAGAAGCCATGGCCTCTAGGCTCTCAGCAGCCCCCTTCTTGCCCTTGCCACCTGATGACCACTTCCAGGGGTGTCCTTGCTGCCCCTCCCTGACCCGCAGCCACTGCCGCAGAGCACCTGCTGACGCTCCCAGGGACACTGCCTGCAGTGTTGCTGTGCCCCACCAGTACCCAAAGTGCCTTTCAGACCAAACTGGCCCACACACAGAGTCTGGGTTCTCCCAGTGCCTGCATGTCTGAAGGCCAGCTTCCTGTTTGCTTCCCCTTCAGGGCATTTTCATCCCCAAAGGGCCTCATAGCTGCAGAGACAGGGGCTGCTGCTTCATGGCCAACCCTGCTTCCAAAGTCTGACCCTTCTAAGCTTGCTTGCTTGCTTCCTTCTGGCCACACGAGCCCCTGCCCTTAGTGGGACTTTGATCTTTGGTCCTCAGGCCACCAAACACTCTCAGCTTGGCCCGTCGCTCTGTCTGTGCTGCCCCTCAGCCCCATGGAGGAAGCCCCCAACCCAGCTGCTCACCACATAGTCCAGCAGCCCACAGCATTGGCAGCCCCTGGGAGCCTCTACTCCAGACCTCAGAATCCAAATCTTTGGGGTGGGATCCAGCAAGCTTTTCTAGCAGATTCTCCAGATAATTCAGAGGTCTGTTAGTTTCAGAACCGTTGCTCTGACAGACTGCTCCTCAAAGGAAAGACAGTGTGGAGCAGGAGAGAAATTGCTGGCCCTGACCAGACTGTGCATATCAAGTGTGATGCGGGGAAGGGCTCCTCCTGAGTGTCCCCACCTATAAAGCAGGCTGCTTGGCTCCGATGGTCTCAGAGCTCCCATGCAGCTCAGCCATTCTGAGCTTCAGGAATGGGCAGCAGGCCACTGGGATAGTGGACAAGATGCTTTTTATTCTTGAACCCTAGCTCCCGGCCCTAAGCCAAGGCCACCAGCCTTAAGGTCACAGCAGCGATCACCAGAACATAAGCAGGTCAGGGCCATCCCCCTGACTAGCAGAGCGCTGTCCTCTGCCCCACCGTCCCTCTTTGGCTCCTCACCAGTAGGGTGCAGCCCAGGTTTCCAGCCTCTCTGGCCTCAGCTCTCACGGGGGTAAAGTCCATGTGCCCACACCTCAGTGCCATCCAGTGGGTCCCCTGAAGATCCACTAAGGAGTTACATGAACTTGCCACCCTGGTGCGAGTGCTGCCTCTAGCAGTGAACCCCGGTGTGCTTCTAGTAGGGTTCTGATTTGAAGCAGGCACTGGCTCTGAAGCTCCTGTGTGAACGGGCTGACGGGTGGAGGGAAGGCGGGGCTGTGATGACCATCTGGCAGCTGGAGGCCAGCGATTGGCCCAGATCTTCTCCCCTCAGCCTCACCCTGGACCGAGCAGCACCCACTGACCTCCAGCGCCAAGTCCAGCCCCACAATGCTTGCTATCTTCAGAAGTAGCTGATCACGGGTTTTATAATTAAGGGCTGTTCTGCCCTCTCTGCACTTTCATGGCCTTAATAAATATGTGAATCTTCAAAGCCTGATGTACCAAACTCTGCCTGGCCCACCCCTGGAGCCACTGAGCAGCTTCTTGGCTGGTGAAGAGGGGGCACTGGGCCTGGGAGAGCTGTTTGCTGTGGGGACCTTTCAGGACTTAGCAGATCTGACAGTCCCTTGTTTCCCCATGCTGAGGGCTTCACAGATGTGAACACCCTAATCCAACACCCAGAGTGGGCCTGCCAGGGACCATCTCCCAAACGGAGAGCCACGCTAGGGACAAAAGTACCAGCTGCAAGAATCGCCTGCTAGAGGGAGTCGGGAGCCATAGACCAGGGTCTGTAGGGGTTTACCTCGCCCCCTGCTGGGCAATGTTGTACCTCTGTCCCCGAGTCACAGGGGGTTAAGCCCCTACCGAGGGAAGTGGGGGAGGCCCAAGACCTTAGCAACGTGTAATTCATGTGCTGCTGTCTTGGATGCCACAGGTGGAGTTCTCGTCGGTTCCTGCAAATATTCCCATGGCACAGGCAGTGCAGGAATTAGCCCTCCTCTGGCCTGGGTGCACAGACCACTGGTGTCATTTGATCAGTGTAACTGCTTTAACCCCACCTCCTGTCCCAGATGCCCAAATTCCAGTCCTGGAATTTTAGTCTCTAAGAGCAAGTACATAAATATGTCACCTTCTATTCATCCTTGAATTTTATCTCTGGCCCAGCAAGCTCAGTGAGCTCGCTGCATCAGAAGTTAGGACCCTGAGTTCAGCCCTCACTTAACCTCTGACACAGCGGGTCGCATTTGTGGATGCCCAGGCACTGACTCTCTAAACTGGGAAAATGTGGGTCATTTTCCCTCACAGTATCTTGTGTGTACCAATTAGAAAATGTCTGTGGAAAAAGCCTTTCAATATACAAAGAACATCGCAAATGTAAGATCTTATTTTATAGACAACCAAGATGACAGCGTTATTGTTTTATAAGTGCTATAGAAACACAGATATTGGACCTTAGCAAAAAAGCACATGGGCTTGTCTTCAGGGGAATAAAGAACAAGATCAAGATCTGGGACAAAGCAGGCTGCTGTGGGTGTTCTGGGGCCTACAGGAGCTGGGAAGGCGAATGGGGGAGTCCACCTGGGAGAGGCTGAGCAGCAAGGGGCTCTGTGTCCCCCACACACCCAGATGGGAGATGGCCACGCAGACCAGGAGCAGAGAACAGCCTTCCTGCAAAAGCTCAGCTCAGTTCTGGCCGCCTCCTCACACCCCCAGGGAGGTCACTTAAGCATCGGCTTTAACCCCAGCCTGCTCTTCTCCATGCACCGCACCCAGCTGCCCCCTGGTGCCTGCCCTGCTGTGCTTCCCCATGGCACCTCCCCTCATCCAGCCCCACATCCATCTCTACTCCTACACCTTGGCTCACTCTGACCATGAGTCCCAACCCTGACAATTCCCCACATCTCAGTATTTACCCTCCACCCTCCACCCCACAGCAGGCCCAGCCCCTGCTCTGCTCCTATCTCCTCCTCTGACCTCAGCCTTAACACCACCCCCGCCACCCCAGGGGCTTAGAGACCTTTCTCACATTTCTTCACTTCTCACAATTAAGGGAACTCCACAGCTGGCGACACCAAATGTCAAGCCAGAGAGGGTGGTGCATTACAGACCTGCCCAGAGGGAAGTGCAGCTCAGCTAGAGCCGCTCCCAGACTTGGGCAGCAGAGGGCGCTGCAGCCCCGCTGGGCCTGGTGGAGAGGCTGTGGCTCCACTGAGGGCGGAATGATGATCCTGAAGGGCTTAGGCTAAGGTAGGCCAGGCTTTTCCAAAGCGCCACGCATGCTCCCGGCGGTATGCGAGGTTTCTTTACACAGCTGGTGCATGGAGAAACACTTTTTAAATGTTAACTTTTGTATTTATTTAAACATCTATTAGAAAAAATTATAGCCAGCATATCAAAAAAGTGAGTTCTGGAATAGAGTTAGAGACACTAAAGTGAGATTCCTTAAAGGTCTAATTTAAGGACAAACTACGGGCTCAGAAGAAACACAGGGATCCAAAATGTGTGACTGTGGAAGTGAGTGATTTTTTTGGGGAAATACCATTGGGAGCAGGGTGAGAGTTGCAGATGAGGGGGAGAGCTAAGCTTAGGGCCCAGGTTAAATTGAGGTGAGGATGAGGTAGGTCAGGATTTAGGGTGAGGCCTAAGGTTACAATTTGAAGTTAGGTCAAATTTAGGGTCACCTTTGGTGGTTAAGGTCAGGAATGGAGTTAAGAATTTAATTAGAAATGGAGTTAGAGACACTCTTTAGGTTACAGGTGTTTGTCACTTTAGCAACTGAAAAGTCCATGAATCCGGATAGACAGGCAGGAGGTTTTGAGGAGGAACGCTCACAGGGCACCCCAAGGGCAGTTGGCCTCCCCCCAGAGCATCCTCTTCTAGAAGCACCCTGCAGGGATTCCGCCTAAGCTGGCTGAACCCCAGGGAGCACAGTGATGCACCGAGTCCAGGAGTGAGAGCTTCCAGGACAACCAGGTGAACCTCCCAGCGGACACCACTGAAAGGTGACTTCGCTGGACGCTATTTTCTCACCTAGTGCGACTGACCTTATGTCCTCTTCCTGACGTCCCTGTGGGATTAGATCCTCCTCCTCATTCCACACAAGAACGGGTAGGTCAGGGAAATTATCATATGAAGAAAGTGTGATTACAACCAAAAACAAAATTATACCCTGGGCACAACAGTCACCCTTAGAATGAAAGATGTATTTTTAACTAAGTATTGACGAGACAAGAAGCATGCATAAGACCCAAACAGTCCAACATTATTTAAGCCATATAAACATACAAAATGCTGGTGTAGCAAGGTGATGTGACAAAGTAAAATGATGAATATATCCAGTAGTTGGATGCCAGAGAACCGGCTTATTATTTCTGAGAAACTGTAACATACATTTTAATTTTACTCCTGTTATGTTACTATGGAAAAAGTAAAGGTTTTGTTCTCTGTTAGGTATAAGGAAGAAAGAAAGTAGAACAGAAGGGAGGGAGGGGACGGAGGACCAGTGTGTCCATCGGTAGGAATGTAAATTGATGCGTCCTTTTTGCAGGGCAATGTTGCAATATCTATCAGCACTTTTAACACAACATGCCCTTTGGCTCAGAAATTCCTTTTCTGGGAATTTATACAACAGATATATTCTTACAGCTCCGTAAAAGATAATTAAGGTGGCTACAAAGACATTTAATGCAGCATAGTTTACAGAGCAAACACAGCTACCAAAAATTTCACCAACAGAAAATTAGTCAAACTATAGTGTATTCTAAATGCTCTGCAGAATGAGGTAGCTGGTCTCAAACAGAAAGGTGGCTGCGCTGTTAGCAAGTGAAAAAACAAGCTGGGGTATAGCCGACAGCACACCTCTATCTGTATAAATATAAAAAGCGATAAAAGGACAAGCGCATCTTCAGAAAATGTCTGGAAGGATCCACTGGCATCTGCTAACAGAGGGTACTGAGGAGAGAGACCAGGGATGGGGGTTGCAGGGAGGGGCTGGGGAAGGCTGTTTGGAAAACATTTACTTTTTTGAATATATTATGTTTACTCTGAAAAGAAGAACTGGGGGTTTGGGGGTGGTAAGGCAGGAAGGTTAAGTACCTAGATCAAGGTCATTAAACTTGTATTCGACAGACTTGGGATTCGCGCCTTGGGATTTGCCCCGCCAGGAGCCTGCATGCAGACTGGAGCCCCCTGTGACCCACCTGCTGTATGCATTGCTGGGCTGCAGGGGGAGCTAGTTTTCTGCTCTCTTCTTCACATGCCCTCCTGGTCTGCTGGTCTCACAAGATGTGAAATTCAGGCTCCAGAAAGCTCGCACCCCAACCTTCTAGTCCCAGCTCTTGAATTTGTTCTAATTCTAATTCTTTCTTTTAAAGCAGGACTTCACAAACCTTTTTGTTTTCCACTTTTTTCCCTGGAAAAAAGCCATAAGGAGGCTTTTTAGACTTTTTTCCCTGGTCATGTTTCCTCCCAATAAAATTTTAATACAATAGACACACTGTAGATTCCTTAGGATGTTCTACATACAAGATCATGTCATCTGCAAATAGACATAATTTTACTTCTTGCTTACACAAACGTATTGGGTATCTGCTTATGTACTGTGGTCCTTTGGAGAGTCAAAAACCACTGGAAAATCTAAGATTGTTAGTGGCCCCCACTGAACCAATTTTCATCCTGTGTTGTGTAGTATTGACCCTACTGAGAATACATTATTTAGGGTAAGGTGCCAACCCCAGTTACAATGCAAGTGAGAAGCGTCAGGTGGCTCAGTTCACAGGTGGGGATGAGGTGGGAATGGGCTGCAGGGAGATAGATGGGAACGTGGGCAGAGGTGTCTAAGGACACGCTTTCCTGGAGTGGCCTTGGTCCTGGACTGATCCTGGTGCCTGAGCCTGGGGCCGGAGCGTGCTATCATTTATTTTGGGGTTTAAATCCAATTGTCAGATCCAGACCATCTGGATTTGAATAAAATTGATGCCTGGGGTGATTACTGAGAGAAGGGTCTAGAATTTCAACTGAGTCCCCTCTTCAGAAAACAAAACAAAAAGTTTGGAAGTCTCCACCCTTCCTTACAAAATGCACTTGATGACAAGTGAAGGGAAAATTCTTCATTCTTGGCTCAAGGAACTTTCTTAAACTTAGCCCAGAGGAATTCTTTAAAGACCAACTGCCTGGACTATGCTAAAGTCAGTTTGTAAGTATAAAATCCCAAACTTGATAACCAAGCAGATTACAAAATCCAGTCGGCTAGTTGACCACAGAAATTTTCCACAAAGCTAGCCAGCCAAACAAGTGTGGTAGGAGATAATGTGAAATCCAGTGCCTTTTGTCTAATTGTCTAAAACTGTGTTGTTTGACCAGACTGCATGCAGAGAGCTTGGGGATACAATGCGCCCAAAGGCTGACTCTCTCCTGAAGTTCTACGACCAGAAAACCCTGGCTGGCGGCAGGGAGGACCTCTGTACAGCATCAGACAAAAGGCAGAGGGTGCGCAAGGCGGGTCCCGCAGTGGTGCCCTTGCTTAGTTTACCTGGAAGTGGGAAAGGCTGCTGTGCGGTAGTCAGACCATGGGCTTTGGAAGAATCTGACTCATAATCCCAGCTCTGCTGGGGACCCTGGACAGACTACTTAGACCCTGTGGTTCTCCTACACAAATTGGGGGCGATAATGTGTACTTCAAAAATTGTACATAAAGCACTACACTTTGGGAATCGGAAATGCTCAATAAAGAGTAACTACACATCCAGCGCCCTAGAGGGAGAAGGCATTGCGCCGCATCATGCGAAGCACTGTGGGCTTTTCCTTCCCTACCCCTCCCCTCTCCTCTTCTCCCTTCCCCCTCACTTCCCTCTCTTCTCTTCCTTTTAGCATCTGGGTTTAGGATCTGGGTGACTGTGTCCCCAGCTGTTTCTCCCAGTATCTCTGTCGTCATTTCTCCAAGCCTCCTTGACAGTCTCCTTGACCCCGACAGGGCCGCCCTGCCCTGCAGACCCCTCCTTCCTCAGCCCCTGCCTGGCTACCAGACAGCCATCTGCAGGAAGGTCACTTTCCCGTTGCCCTGGCAGAGACGTGGGTTGGATAGAGGAGGTCTTGGGAGAAGCAAATAAATACATCAGGTTCCCAGCTGGGTCTGGAGATAAGCGCTCAGGGAGAGGAGCTGAGGGCGTTCCCTGGCTTGGCTGTGAAAGCCTGTTTGAGGCACTTCAAAGAGGGTGTTGCAGAGAACCGCACCTGGGGGCTGCCCCTCCTGGGAGGGTGCCGCGCAGAGGGACACTTTCCCATTTTGGATTTGGTAGGGACAGGCCTAAAGAGTGAGGATGTGACAGATCCAAGCTACTGTCCCAGCTGAGGTAGGTGGGTGGGGAGGGACATGTAGCCCCGTGGCACACGAAGGGAAACTGGGGCCAAGAAGGGAGAGAAACTTTTCCAGGTTCACAGAAAGTCAGTGGAAAAGGAGGTACCACTCCCTAACCCTCAGTCTCCTGCTATGGACCTGCTTACACTGAA